ACCTACAATCCCTGCCTTTGGGTTACAAGTCCGACTAACCATTAGGCCATGACTGCCCCAGGTACTAATATGTATCTTTAAGGTACCAATATGCACCCTATAGGCATAAATAAGATACAAATGTGTAAAGGAAGCGCCCCTGTGACAGCTTTTGTACATTTTTCTAAGAGTGTACAGTGTTTGAACTCTAAACATGTTGCATCATTTGAAGTACTTTCACCAGAATTTTCACCTTTCAGGATTTGCACTGTACAGCCTCATTCACTAGCTTAAAAAGTCATCACACATTCTTATCTCTAAAATGATAGCTTTGTTTGAATTCGAGCACTGCAAGCAAATGAGAAATGAACATTAATCAGGACTGCAAAGGTTTAGTGCATTTAGTACCATTTATGTTAAAACTCAAGTGATAGTTTAAAAAAAAAACATTTAGGAAAATTTGCATTCATCAACATACAGCCACACTGTGAATCGTTAAAGCTCTTTATGAGAAATGTATGTAAATGCAATGTATAAAATACATTTTTCTTCACAAAGCATCTTTTTAGTTCATGACTTAGAAAGCAGAAACGTCTCTTCTCAAGCCCTTGAGATGTGATGTATGTGCAGTATACATGCTTATTGTCTATACAAATGTAACTGGAATGAAGGGTTATTGATAGATAGGTTACTTGTTGCATCACCATAGCAACAATGCATTGATCAATCAGCATGCTGGTTTGATTATTGATTGTTTGGATGGGGGAGGGCAGCTCTGCTTCCTTTCCCTGCATCTCTGATCACAGAATGATGAAGGTGGTGGAAGGCTTTTTCTAACAAACACTTTATAAAAGAATGTCCAAAAATACGTCAGCACACACGACACGCGTTTATCAGAGCTCAGCTTCACTCATATTTGTCATCCTTCAGCGGATCAGTGTGTGTCTGCTGTCTCTGGGCTTTCTCTTGATCGCTGGAGCTTGATTTAGGTCTACACACGCTCAAATGTCTGTTATGCAGATATGATACTTATTCCATATTCAAGCCATTTTTAACACCACTACATGATTTTATAGTGTAACTGGTGAAAGAACAACTAACATCTAAATATCCTAAATGTACGAGTTTTGCACACGCAGTTAATTAACAAACTACCGGTAATAGCTTCAAGGTTATGTTTCTGATTGTTAATGAAAACATATTACACAAATTATGTTTTTTTTTTTTTTATTTGCTCATCATAATAATAAACGGTGATAATGCCGAATAAAGAACTAAAGATCATTTATTTTGTGTAGCCTATCATCTAATCAAATCAAAAGATCGATTGCATTTTTCCTGATCACAGATTCATAGTTTATAATAATGAATGTGCGAAATTAAATCATACCGAATAAATAAAGTCAGTGAATGTCAGAAAACGTTGTTATTTATTTATTTTTTTGTTCTGCAAGAAAAACATATACGAGAAACAACAATTTGATTTATTGTTTATCACTGCCACTGTAATAATCGTTTTGGCCGGAATTTATTCCATAATGCCCAAATTTATTTAAAACAAAAATAGCGAATGATAATATTTACGAATAGCGTAGAATTGAAATATCTTAAAGGTGCATAGGAATATGAATCCTGAACTTTAGGAAGCAATGTAAATCTTATTTGAATTACTGTACAATTAAAATGAGTTGTATCAATTTATTCTTTGTCCCTCTTAATCACGTAAGATAATAAATGATAATGAGAAATGACTGTAATTTTTAGTTTACGCTTTGAAGCTGCATTCAGTCTATTAAACATATTTCTAATGTGATCAGAACAGAAACCCCAATCACACATATATGAGCTGCTTGGCGCGTTTACTCTTCTTTTGACCATTTGATTTAGAAACCTCTAAAAAAAATCTTGTCAATAAAACAAAATAGTTCAGAATTAATCAGAATTCAAAAGATCCATAACCAATGATATGCTGAGTACTACTTAATTAAATGGTAGTGCAAATTTTGATTGTGAAGATGTAACTTTAGTGTCATGTTCACCTTTCCCAATGTGTCATCGCAGAAACAAACATCTACTGTGGGCTTTTGGCCACCTATGTGTGGAGGAGTTTGGGGGCCGGACGTTTGCGTGGTGGTCTCTATGCGTGATTGGCTTGTTTTGGATTGAGGGGGGCATCCATTAAAGAACTGGTGTTGGTCATCCTGGAGGGGAGAGTGATTGGGAATTACGTGGACTTGACCGAAACAGGGAGAGAAAGAGAGAGAGGGTCGAGCATGAGAAGCATCATCAGTTCAGAGCAGTCACCGAAACACAGAGAGACCACCTGGAGAACACTGATTTAACGCAAACATCCCACACTGAACAGCAGGACTAAAACAGAGGAGGCGAAGCGAGGAACCCATGGCAGAGGGTATGTCATTTGTTTTTGGAAGTTCTGGTCCTCTTCCTGAAGGTAGGCCTACATCAAGGTGTTGCTTGTTTAGAAGACGCGGGGGTTGGGGGTCCACGCATTGTCTTCAGGTTTCTTCTTCTCCGTGTCTTTTCCTTCTGACCCCCACTC